CAGCCCGGTACACCTTTGCGCGAGGTAGCAGATGGCGTCGTCCTTCAGCTGCCGGCAGGCCGTGAGGTCCAGGGACTCCAGCTCCTTGCAGTGGTCAGCCAGGCTGCGCAAGGAGAGACTGTCCACCCACTCGCAGTGGGCCAGGGAGAGCTGGCGTAAATGGGGGCAGCTGAGGGAGATGGCCACCAGGGTCTGCCGGCTCAGCTGCGCGCAGCCGTTCAATGCGATGTGCTGCAAGTGATGGTTCTGGCCGATGACAGGGAGGAGCTCCGTGTCCGATAGCCAGGCAGAGCAGTTCTGAAGGGCCAGCCGGTGCAGTGCCATATTGTCCTTGAGCAGGACGCAGAAGGCATCCTTGGGAATGTGAGGTCCTGCCTGCCATGGGCAAGAGGACAGCCGGACTCAGGACGCAAGCACCACTCTCCAACCCAGTACAGACCCACAAGATCCCCAGGACACAGCTTTCCGGAGGGCCCTGGAGCCCCCCACGGCAACAGGCTGGCCGTCTAGGGCATTCCCCTGGACCCAAGGAAAGCATGCCTGTTCTCCTGTCCCACGGTGGGGCTGTGGTGGGATCCTCAGTCCCAGCCAAATGCTCTCTCTTCTTGCCCTCTTTTGCATCTTTTCGCTAAGCTAGAAAGAACGCTCAAGGAAATTACCAAGAGAGGGAGCCATCCTAGATTGTTTTCTTCCTGTCACATCCACTACACAGTTAAAAGTCTAGTTATATTGCCCCAGAAGGTGGTCCTCACGATGGACAGGCACCCCAACACTCAACCTGAGGCCATCTACATTTCTGAACGCATTTTAGTGGAAGACTGGAAACGGCCGAGATGCTCACCAAATTCCTACAGTGGGTACCTGTATCTCTCCCTGCCCCACGTTCCCCAAGCCACAAACCTGACCTTTTTCAAGGGGGGAGAAATAACATGCAGCAGCAGACAGCTCTTTTGAAAGGCTGCAACCATGGTCTATTCTCTACTTGCGAATTTCCCTTCTCAACAATCTTTTATTTATTTATTCCTTCAAATTTGTACCCCGCCCTCCCCGCCTCAGCAGGCGCAGGGCGGCTTACAACAATAAAACACAACGTTCGGATATCATAAAACTTCTAAAACAATTCAGGATAGGGACTGCAGGTTTCAAAGTCCCCTAAACTGAAAAGCTAAGGAAACACCAGTGTGCATCAGCAAGCTGGAAAGCTCTGGGCAGAGGCAGGTGCCTATGTGACAGCTACACCAGAGTAAATTCACTTGACATACTGTTTGTGCTGAAGGGGAAAAAAGTCACCAACGTGAACATATAGAAAACAGACATTGCAAGCGGGGCACATTCCATTTTGGAGCACGTTATATGCAACAAATGTACTGTCGCTTGCTGGGATGAGTTTCAACAAAATCCACACAATAAACAGTTCACCTTTTCTGTGATCATGGTATACCCAAGGATTCCTGGTAAGAAATGTGCCCACTACCATAATTCAGAGAATGGGTTGTAGTTTAAGACTGTTGGTCCTTTTGTGTGCTTGTGCAGCTGCGTGACTGATTAAATAAGGCTGGCTGTTTGCAAAGAGTTGTCTTCGCATTTTGCCACCAGGTACCGCTATAAGGTGCAGGTTGTTGCTGCCAACACAAGAATCACAATTCAGATTCAGTATGCTGCGGTGTTTTGTGCACTGCATTTAGATTACTGTTTTGTTTTGAGGCTATGCATTGAAGACTCACAGGTTAGGTCCTGATGTCATGAGACTCTCTGTTGAGACAGGAAGTGGTTCCAGGAGCGCCCTGAAGGGGAAAGCAGCAAGACCCCTCCGAGAGACGTCCTCTACTGGGTGTATCTCTAAGGGTGTATATCTGTCTAGCTGTCGGGCAGCTGACATGGCGCTACAGTGGGTTGTGATGGGCCCAGCTTGGATATCAGTGGAGGGCACAGATTAACTACAGGAACTCCACCTAGCCTTGGAACGAAGGCTTCACTGGCCACTATCTGACAGCGTGCAAGGACAGTCAAGGGGAGTGGGAGCCCGTGACTGTCCCAGACCTCCTAGAAACGCCTGATCCCATCCTCCATGTCCTAGAAGATGATCCCCTTCTGGGCCTGAGAGTCCAGTGGCGATGCTCCCACCAAGCAGACCAACTCTAGAAGGGGGTACTGGTAGACGGCTGCCCTGCAGTGTATTGTCTGAGAGTGTCGTTTGAGATTTTGAAGCACCAAACTTCGTTTCAATGTACATCTTGGCCAACTGTCTGGGGCCGGACCTTCTCCCCAGACTTCCCTGGGCTGCAGCAGGTGGCCACGATCCCAGCCCCAGCCAATAGGCTCCCAACAGCTCCTGGGGCCACCCCAACGGCAAGAGGGCCAGCCAGGTGAGGCCCTAAAGCACTGAGCGGTGGCCCCTTGAGGGAGCTCCCAGCAGCAGCTGGCCCAGACGGGCCGGGCTACCCGGCCAGACAGGGAGGACCAAGCTGTTGTGGACCGCCTGGAACCCCTGCCCGACAAAGCCACTCTGGGGCACGCTGCTTCCAGACGCTCTGGCGCCCCTGGCAAAGGACTGCCCCTGGGCACAGCCTGAAGTGAAATGGGTGGATCTGGTCAGCCTCCTGGCTCAGCCGGGAAATACACCGGATCTTTTCCCCAGGAAGGATGACTTTCAAGACCTGTTTTTAAATCGAAGGTATAAGAGTCAGAGAGCAACATAAGAACATAAGAGAGAAGCCAGTGTTGGATCAGGCCAGTGGCCCCTCCAGTCCCTCTGTCACACAGTGGCCAAAAACACCAGGCGCCATCAGGAGGTCCGGCAGTGGGGCCAGGACACCAGAAGCCCCTCCCCCTGTTCCCCCCCCCCCAAGCACCAAGACGACAGAGCATCCCTGGCCCCTTGCCCCGGAGCCCCTATCTATAGACCTTGTGGCCAACAGGGGCCACGGATGGACCTCTGCTCCAGATGCTTATCTAATTCAACCAACTTCTCTCCCGGGGGAGGGGGCCCCTTCTCTTGGCTGGGCTGCGGGGAGGCGCCGAAGGGGTGTGTGTGGGTGTGGGTGTGCGTGGTGTTACCTGGGCGGCGTCGAAGGCGCGGAGGTTGGCGAGGCGGAGGTGGACGAGGGCGCGGAAGGCGCGGCTGACCCTCTGGAGGCGGAGGAGGTGGCGCAGCGGCAGGCGGGAGAGGACGTGCGGGAGCAGGACGTCCTCCCACGGCAGGTCCAGGAGCTCCGGGCGGCGGCCGAGGCTGTGCGGGGGCGGAGGAGGGGGGAGGAGGGGGAGGAGCCGATGCCCACCGAAATCG